TAATGGATATTTCTTGTAATGGTTTAATATATCCTTGTAACTTTTCTACTCCAACCCATTCTGATGATGGTCCACTATTTGGAGTTCCAAGAATGACATAAATTGATTCAAGTATTTGTGAATCATTTCCTGCAAAAAGAATTTCTCCTCGTGCCATTTCTGCAAAAATACATCCAATACTCCATACATCAACTGCTGGTCCATAAATAATTGCTCCAAACCAAATTTCTGGTGGTCTATATGATGGAGTAATGACTCCTTTTGTAAATTGGTCACACTCTGAACCAAATGGTCTAACACTTCCAAAATCAGTTATTTTTAATACATCATCTTCACTGATTAAAATATTTGCTGGCTTAAGATCCTAACATCATCAATCTTTACTTCTTCATTACTTTTTATTATCTTTACCATCAACAAACTCGATGAAGAAGAAAATTCATGTGAAGATATCTTACTCCTTCAAGAATCATTTTTAAATATCTACAAACTCTCATTGGATCTGTCTTTAATCTTCCATTTCTTATTTCCTTCTCAAGATCAGAAGGATGATATTCCATTACCATATAAAGAAGATTTCTGTGAAAATAAAAATCTACTACTTTGACAATATTACTATGGTCTAATTCTCTTAACACTTTAATCTCTCTTAATATTTCTAAAGGATATCCATCAAAATCACGTCCCATCAATGATTGATCTCCTAAATTGAATTGTTTCACCGCAACCTTTTTGTTTGTTACACCATCTGTTCGTAATGTAACTTCTCCATATGAACCTCCTCCTAATTTTATTCCATCCTTCTTAAATCGTCTGTTTTGAATTTCATAGTATATATCAGATATAATTGGTTCTTCTTCCATTTGCTTTTTGATTCTATAACTTCCTAGTTCTTTTTCTCTCTTTTTTATTTGACTTATTTTTTTTTCTATGCTTAACTTCTTCATTGTTCATTGAAGCACAATGTGGATATTATACAAAATACTCTTCTTATTGTTTGTCTTCTTTTCAATGCTCATTCTTTGTCTTATTTGTATTGTATTACTTATAACTTAACTGAAAAATCGAAAATAAAGTAAATAAACAATAATCTAATTTCCCCAAAACATTGGAGAACAATTAATATGAGTATATTCAATATT